CACTTCTGCATCGCGAGCCGGGAGACCTTCGCGGCCGGCCCTCTCTCCTGTCACAGTCTCTAGTATCTAGTCGTCGCGACTCCGCCAGGATGTTCGAGGCTCGCCTGGTTCAGGGCTCCATCCTGAAGAAGGTGTTGGAGGCTCTCAAAGACCTCATCAACGAGGCCTGCTGGGACATCAGCTCGGGCGGCGTGAACCTGCAGAGCATGGACTCGTCGCACGTCTCCTTGGTGCAGCTCACTCTGCGCTCCGAAGGCTTCGACACATACCGCTGCGACCGCAACCTAGCCATGGGCGTGAACCTCACCAGGTGAGCGGGTGGCGGGAGCTGGGCTCTAGCCCTCCCGCCTCGGGTCTTGGCGGGGCTCCGGCTCCGTGCTCTCATTGGCTGACGTGGTCATCCGCGCCTTCTGATTGGTGTCTGGAGCTGGGGGCGGAGCCCGAGGAAGCGCGCGGTTCTGAAAAGCCCGCGCTGGTGGCCGCGCGAACCCGCTGTTTCCGCGCCAAAGCCACAAAACGGGTGCCGGCGGGAAAATGCCTGCGTTGGAGATCAGTTCATTAAACGCCAGCAGCTTTTTTTATTTCAGGGCACAACCTTGTCCTGGCTAATTTTAGCTGCCTACTAAACGTGTTCTGGTGAAAATGTGGTACTGTCCACTTAGAGGGACAATAGGCCTTTTCTACTTGGAGTCTAGAATCTCATTGCGAATCATTTGTGGGAAAATTTACCAGTCTTAGCTTTTAACTTTGTTACAGATGCATGAATTTGCCACCGGTATACGTTTTAAAAGATTTGTGAAAAGGCCACATATGATATAGGGCACACTCTGATACACTGGAAACCAAGGACATCCTGCCCAAAAAATTATTTACTGGCATATTGCCTTTGAGTGGTTTTAAGGATCACATTCCCGATAGTTTACTCCCCCCCCCCCAGGGGATTTGGTGTGGGCGTAAAAGGGTAACATCTTGTAATTGCCTTTAAAAGAGTAGATGTTGAACACATGGTGTTGATAAGCCCTGCTTCTTGTTTTCTAGCATGTCCAAAATACTAAAATGTGCTGGTAATGAAGACATCATTACACTAAGGGCTGAAGATAATGCCGATACTTTAGCACTCGTATTTGAAGCACCAAGTAAGTTACACCTCTAAAACTCAATTGTTACAGAAAGCAAAGTATGATCTGTTTCTCAAAACTAAGGATATTAACAGAATTGCGGTTGTAAAGTTTTACACCATAGGTATGAACATGTGCTTCAATAACATTTGCTTCCTTTTGTTAGATCAAGAGAAAGTTTCAGACTATGAAATGAAGTTAATGGACTTGGATGTTGAGCAACTTGGAATCCCTGTGAGTATTTTGTTCTCGTTTCTGGTGGTCTTTGAACTCATTCTGTAGACTCAAACTCAGCAGAGATCTGCCTGCCTCTGCCCCCTTAGTGCTGGGAGAATATCCTGTTTTCGCTGGTGAATTTTACCAAGCTGTGATACCAGCTGATGAGTTCCAAAGTGGGTATTTGGAATGAAAGACAATTTCACTAAGCAATGACAGTCTAAAATTGAGTTTTAAAGAAATCAGATACTTGTCCTCACACTTCTGACCTTTAACTTTGGGATTTACAGGAACAGGAGTACAGCTGTGTGGTAAAGATGCCTTCTGGTGAATTTGCGCGCATATGCCGAGACCTTAGCCATATTGGAGATGCTGTTGTAATATCCTGTGCAAAGGATGGGGTGAAGTTTTCTGCAAGTGGAGAGCTTGGAAATGGAAACATTAAGTTGTCACAAACAAGTAATGTTGATAAAGAGGAGGAAGCTGTAAGTAGTAAAAGTTGTCTGCAGTGTCTGAAAGGGGAATGAATATAAGCTTAACTGCTGAGCTGGTTCTCCAGACCTAGCTCTTTTGAGGTGGAGTGTGAGTAGACCAGGCTGTCTTTGAACTTAGATACTCCACACTCTGCATATATGCTTTCACAGGTGGGACTGGGAAGCTAGGTGTTTCCAAGCTTTTGCTTCCTAGAATGACTGACAAATAAGCATTAACAAGTGAACAGAAGAAAATGGTTGGGGTTGTGAGTCTGTTGGGATCATGTAGATCTTGTAGTAAGTAGCTTTGTGTTGGACTTTCACGTGCTACCCCATTTAATGGTGCAAAAGCAGACTAAGTAAAGTTGAGTGTTGATAAGTTTTAAAGTCCTCAAAAATGAGGAAGATGTTGGAAAGGCAAAAGAAAAATGCCTGGAAAGCCTCATTCAAGCAGAAGATACTAGGCTAATTGCTAAATATTCAGAAGTCAAAACTTTTTAATTATACTAAGTTTTTTAAAAAGTTTTGCCAGCTAGTCTGAGCATCAGACTATAAATTGCAGACACAGTCTGAACTAAATATGATTTTTAGTGCTAAATGTAAAATTCGGAGTGCTTAACACAAAGTGTTTAATGTTATTTTGTCTGCAACTTGTATAACTGAGGATTAGAACATATATACACAACCCATAGGGCTGGTTCTTAACCTTAATCTGTCTGCTTAATTATTCCTACTTACCTGTCATCCTCAGATCACAAGGTATTTAATTCATAAGTATTTTGTTTAAAGCATAAGCATTACCACAACAAAGGAAATTAAGTTTTCAGTATTCACATGTTTCTTATTTCCTTAGTTTGAATTGGGACTTGAAAAAAATTCCTGATAAAATGAAAATTGGTCAACATGTCCCTTAGCTTGCATTTAACTTGTTGCTTCTTGTTACTAGAGTTGGTTATGAGCTGCTGGATGTGGGTGCTGGGAACCAAACTTGGATGTTGTGGAAGAGCATCGAGTATTAACTGTTGGGTCATCTCGCCAGCCGTGGTTACTTTTGGGGGTGGGAGTTGAGTGTTGTACATTGAACCCAGGACTTATATTAGTCAAGTGCTCTACTGGTTAGCTATCATTCCATTTCTTTTTCCTCTATATAGATTCTTTGGAAGAGATTAGTGCTTGCAGTCTAGAAAAGAACAGCCACTTTCTTTGTGTTGGTTGCTTGGGGTATGCTTCTACAAGAGATAGGCTAAATGTGTTTTAGTCTTCAAACTTTTCATAAAATCCTCCAAAGTGATAACTAAAGGTTTTTGTTTTGTGCTGTATGTTATGTACTAATGTGTGAGTTTCTTGATGTTGTGTTAAGTGAGCCTGTTTTCTTCTCTAGGTAACCATAGAAATGAATGAGCCAGTTCAGCTAACTTTTGCACTAAGGTACCTGAACTTTTTCACAAAAGCTACTCCACTGTCTCCTACAGTAACACTCAGTATGTCTACAGATGTACCCCTTGGTAAGATACTAAGTTTTAACATTGTTTTGTAGTATAGTAATTACTCCTCAGTCATTAACTTTTCGATTAAATTTTCCCATCTTTTAGTTGTAGAGTATAAAATTTCTGACATGGGACACTTAAAGTATTATTTGGCTCCCAAGATTGAAGATGAAGAAGGATCTTAGGCGTTGCTAGAATCTGAGAAAACCAAGCCTTTGAGAACTGCTTCTGAGATGCCAGCATGTTTTGAAGTCTTTTCTGTCACCGAGTTTGTACCTGAGTACATATGTAGATATCTTCTGTAAATAACCTACTTTTTTCTCTCTATTCTCCACAATTTGTTTAAAGAATAAGCTCCAAAGCAAAAACTGGTTCTTTTAACATAAATATATCTGCCTTAGAAATCCTGGCGATTTTTTATGAAAGATGTTGACGCTAAATGCAGTTTCAAGAAATGTTTTTCAGTTTAAATAAAGTTAACTGAATCCAAATGTCGAACAGTGTCTTTGAACCACAACTACTGAACTCTCAAAGTTACCGTTTTATGTAAATGGGTTTTGTTTTCCATTTTAAAGCAGCCTGGAGTTAATACGTCACGGAGGTAATTTTTAAAAAATGTTTCACTTTAATCTGTATGATTAGGTTATAGAAAAATTTTTTCTGGTATGAGTAGCTTTTAAAGGAGGCAGGTGGATCTCTTCCTAGGCCAGCCAGGACTACATAGACCTCAAATACATAAAGGTCTAGTTTAAATTTTGTAGATGCTTGATCCAAGCAGGTTTAAAAAAGCCTTGTGGGCTTGAAAAGTCATGACATGCTACATACTTAAATACTTGTTTTTTATTTACTATTTCATGTGTGGAGACAACTTATAAGAATTGGTACACCCACCACGATGTGGCTTTCAGGGAATTAAATGTGCTTCAGGTTTGGAGACAAGCACCTTCACTCAGTAAACATTGCTTGTCCAAATTACTCCACCTTTTCAGGTGTTTAGTTTTGACTGTCCCATCAAATTTTGTTTGGCAGTTTATAAAGGGTACAGTTTTGGTAGTTCTAGGAGGTTGTTGGTTAGAGCTCATACCCAGTAGCTATTACTATTTAAAGCTTTGTGTCAACACGTAGAGAAGGAAATGAGCTACAAATACGCCTCACTTGTAGAACTCTGGGGTGATGGACATGCTTTATGAAGACTGGTCACTGTTCCATCGGGAATATATTAGAACTCTAGTGTGTCTGGTCAGTAGTACTCTATAGCTTGAGTGGGGTCTGATAACCAGATAGGGAAACTAGGACAAAAATTTGGGGCTGAGAACGCTAGTGGGTACAGACCAATGTCATCATAGCCCTGAATAGGGCAGGGAAAGATTCCCTTGCCCACCTCTCCGGGTCCCGGGGACTCTGCTGTGCACAGACCTGGCCATGATGGGTCTGGGCTGGAACCACATTAACAGGCTTGCCTTGGATTACATCGTGATGGGAGGGACCCTTAGGTTTCCACCCTGGGTGGCAGACCCAGGTCACCAGCACAAGACCAAACTGCTGGCCCACTAGGTATTCCCAGCACTCGGGAGGCAGAAGCAGGGGAAACATGAACTGAGGCCAGCCTAGTCAACATATTGAGTTCAGCACCGCCAGCCACACCGGGAACTGTCTTAAAAACTGTCCACCCTTGCGGTGACGTTGCTTCCTGGTGGTGCCATTTCCGGTGCGCCTCTTCGCACACCACTTCCGGTGGGCTGGCGCTCTGGCCGCCGTTGGCTGTTGGGAGAGCGGCGCTAGCGCGCGTAACGGGGAGCGGGAGACGCTCCGCGGGTCGGGGCTGGGGGGGG